AGAGCGAAGGCAGCGCGGGTTACTCTAGCGACAAATAGGGCAGGACTTACCATAGCCGCAGTAGCATGGTCTAGTATCAAAGCAGGGGTCGACCAATGAGCCTCGAGACCAGCATCGTCGCTATAACTATACTGATGCACAAGGCCTTGTTCTCGGAGGATGGCAGATTGAACCTGCCACTGGCAGGAACGGGGGGCCCAACTCTGCCAATTGGGGGCGTACAATTCTGCCCGAAAAGCCCCAGGGGGTGGCCCCGGTGGTTCTGCTGACAGTTAGAGCGTGTCCGATAAAGCCGGTTGTTAGTACTTTGATACGCCTTGTCCGTATCAACTCCTAGCAGTTTCCTTCTTCTCAGAGATCGGAATTTTCTAGAAGGCTTAGATCTCCCTTCGCTGAGTTGATCAATTATAGGGTAAGCACTCTTAGGTAGTCTATTTGTTGGTGTAACCTCCAACAGTGCAATGTGGCTGATGCTGCTCAATGGCAGCTTCGATAGTGTACTTTCCGTCAATGCCACGAATGATAGAGCCGACATAGGTGCACGCCTTCCAACCCAAACGCCTGTTAAAGAAACAGATGAAGCGATGGACGGATATACCGTCCTGGCTCCTGCGCCTACTTTTGACCGAACAGCGCAGACAAAGTGGGCCTCGAGAGCAAGTCTAGCATTCGATTCTGTCACAAAAACCTCCGAAGTGATGCTCTCCTGAGGTCTATGTTCGCGTTTTTGGATGCCAGTCTCCTATTCATCAACAGTAGGAGGGTTCCTTTCGGCAGAAGGTGAGCTCGAGAAGGCTTCGGAGACCTTCTCCAGAGTCTCCAACTCCGACGGCATGAGAGATAGAGATACCAAGTTAGAGCCCATGGAGTCGGAAGTGATGTGTTTTGTGGAATGTCTGGTCGTGGACATCGAGCTGAAAATTATACAAAACGAGAGCCTGGATGATAGTCATGGTGCCTGTCATAGTAGGTCTGCTTGAAAGGCGACTATGACTATCATAACTATTCGGAACTACATTAATACTATATTTATTACTCCCATAGTCCTATATTAATTCCAACGCAAAAATTCATTTGGAAACTGCATTGAATTTCTGCTCGTGATAGAGACATATGTTGCGTCTCTAGACTTGTCCATTCTCATCGTGTTGTGAGCTGCTGGAGCTGGAGTTGGAACTCGTAGGGTGAATGAAGTTCACTGTTCATCATATTTTCATATGCCACTGAAATTTGAGATTCATGTTATACACTATCGACATTATATCTTATAGTGTATTTCAATTCCTTATGGGCGTTTCTGTCCTCGTCAAAATCGATAATGAATGAGTACTCTGTGCACTGTGTGTTGACATTGTCCAATATTGAAGATTCTTGAGCGACTGCTCTCAATATATTGCTATAATCCATTCGGCTGGTCGGCGCGCAGCATATGCCAGCAACTATTGAGTCACTCAAATTTGAGTGTGAGCTATCCACCACTCTACAGTTCATAGAATCTAGGTGCATACCTTCTTATTTACCAGTCTACCGACAGATATGATATTCTGACACTTATTGGCATTGACCTCGAATTTCTGTGAACTATTCACCACTTTATAGTTCACAGAATTATTTTGACTTCGAAGTTTGAAGTTCAAACAAGACTGGGAGCTTAGCCATGATGCTGCACACAATACTATGCACGTTACTACTATCGATTAGACTCTCAAAGAACGCGTTTGAAGATGTTCTGGAGTGGGTCTAGTGGAAGAATAGGTTCGGGGCACTCAAGAATGTTTATAAGGCAAAACATTGTTTTCGGGGCACGAGGAGATTTTTCGGGGCGCGGCGAGAAATTTGGAGCAATTTGGTTGTCATCTCCTTGAGTCTCTTCCCTTGTTTCCAATGCTCACTTTCCCGAGGAGATCGCTCGTCCAGAGGCTCTCCAGACCCGCGGGTGCTCGTCTTTTCAGCATCTACGAAGGTCCCATCTGCGTTTCCTTTGATGCAGTACTGAAATCGTCATATTTCTGTTCAGGCCAAACCGTGCAGGAGTCAGAACTGCTCCCACAAGAGGACGACTGGGTTATAGAAGAGACCAACTTCTGCTTGGGAAGGTGCGACCGTTCACAGCCACTTCGATTTCGGTGGCTTCCAGGTCGTGTTCAGGAACTGCTACGTGCGCTTCCGGGAGGAGGACGATCTTGCCAGACGTGCTCTCCATCAAATGGACTCCCAATTGAACAAGATGCATACCAGGCTGAGGGATGGTAGGCCTAACGGTGCCCCCCTTGCTACACTCTATGTAGGTACCGTCATTCCCTACATGTCCTTCCATCCGGATGAGATGGTTGATAGGCCTGGTAAGGCTCTCTGTCCGGTATCTCAAGGCTTCCCAGTGGCAATACTATTGATCGTCATTTCAGCGCCTATCCATACATTCACAGAGAAGCCGTTATTGAAGTGGACGTGGGATGAGACCTACGAGGAGGCCTATGATGATCCTGAGGCCCCCTACTACAAACGAGTACCATACCCTGGAGATGCTCAGACAGAAGCTCCCGAGGAGGTTCTCCCCCACTACTAGG